ATTGTATCTTGCGCATCAGATTAATGTATCATCGCTTATATTATTGTATCTCGCGCATGTATCAACGCTTATATTATTGTATCTATTGTATCCGTGTGAGGGATTTCTGTAATTATAAACCTTTAAGGGATAGATTGTAATTTTGCCTTAAAAGTATGTGATTTCTGTAATTTGCCCTATAATGTTTGATAGGTAAATAGAAAATAAATTTTTCTTGTATTAAATTTATACGTGTTTGATTGACAATTTAGAAACCCCCTAACTAATACATGTATGATGTAACCATTACAAGGAAATAACTAATTCATACATAACTAATATCTGCATAACTAATAAATGATCGAGAAGATGAAAAAGAAGTAGAAGAAGCAATGAGGAGCAAATATTGTTTTTGTTTGATGTTTGTGACTACAAATTAAACAGTTGGAAAAATCACAGAAATCACACCTTTTAGTTTACTTATTACCATTATCCTCTATAAGTTTTACAAATCTCCAAAATCCCTCATGTTCGCGCATCAGATTAGTGTATCAGCGTTTATATTATTGTATCTTGCGCATCAGATTAATGTATCATCGCTTATATTATTGTATCTCGCGCATCAGATTAATGTATCAGCGCTTATATTATTGTATCCGTTTGAAAATTTTCTGTAATTATAAACTTTTAAGGGATAAATTATAATTTTGCCTTAAAAATATGTGATTTCTGTAATTTTCCCTAAACATTTTGTAATAGGCTATAAGATGCAAAGAAAGAAAAAAAAATGATAGGGCCCCCATCCTGTACATTCACAGTCCAAAATAAAGAAGAGGCCCATTTATGAAATTGTTATACTTTCTGGAAACCCTAACTATATAAACAAAGGTATGCACAATTAAGTCTCTTCATCAGCTACTCGCACCACCATTGCAGCTAGGGTTCTTCAAGCTTCAGTAGCAGCAGCAGCAGCTCATCTGCAAATCAACCTTAGCCATGGTATTCTCTTTTTCAATAAGGCGATATTGATTTAAATTTTAATTTTAAATCATCTGTAATTAACCGAATTGAACTCGTATTATGTTAGAAATTAATATGAAAAATTTGAAGTTTAATCCACTGAAATTAGGTTTATTTTGAGTATTTGTGGGAATGTACTATTAATAATATAATTATTCGGCTGGATTTGTATGCACAGACTGAAATATTAACTCTTTGGCAGTATACTGACGGTTGATAAGCCAGAAATGTTGTAGGGCGTTCATGATTTAATATACATGTATAAAAAAGTAATTTTTGACATATATTCAGTATAATTTTTCGACGAAGCGTCTCCAAGTGAACACACTTTTGTTAGATGTAGTTCTGGATACTGATGGTCTTAAGTTTGGTACAATGGATGGTTATTAAATATGTCTTTATAGATTTATATTTGTTTTTTTATTTTTATTTATTGAAGTATTAGTAAAGTTTATGCTGATGGATTGTATTGGGTTGGTAGTCGAAGAGAAAGACCAGGGAGCCCAAGGAAGAGACTGTTACCCTTGGACCAGCTACCAGGGAGGGTGAATTGGTCTTTGGTGTTGCTCACATTTTCGCCTCTTTCAACGACACGTTCATTGTGAGTTATTGATTTCCCCTCCTTTGTACTAGTTTTGTTTTTGAAGAAGTTGTATAATTGTTTATTTTGTTCTGAATTTGTAATTGTCTGTTAATTGCAGCATGTGACTGATTTGTCTGGACGTGAAACAATGGTTCGCATTACTGGTATGTACTCTGTAATGTGGTAGTGATTGCATCTGTGTAGTATCTTTGTTCTGGATTTCACCATTACTGAGTTGTTGAAAACCTTAATTTCACCAGCCAATTAAGAGTTACATCCCCTCAGTTCCAAGAATTTACATTTCTCATTTTTAAATTTCCTGTAGAACAAAGAAGACATTTTTACAACAACAATAACCAGGCCTCACTGTGAAACATGTTGGGGGCAGCTATATGAATCCTCACTGATCTTGCTACCATTTAAACTCATCTCAGGCTAATACGATACAAAATAAAAAAAATACTAGGAAGTTCTTTATATTTTATACTAATGTACCATAAGGCTAAATAACTCCCAGAAAAAGCATAGGAATTGAAGTGTTAACATGTCTAATATGTATTCTCAACTAATACGTATAAAATGTTTCACTTTTTCAACTAACAAATTCAATTGATAAACACATTGTACTCGTTTTTTCCCTTTATATTTAGTACGCCCTATGCCTCTATTTATGTTGCCATTTCTCTTGGCACAAAATTTAAGAATGAAAGTTGACTTTTGAAAGTTGTGGTCTTAAACAACTTTAAGATTTTTGTGTAACTATAAATTGTTTTATTAAGGGTAAAGCAAAAAATTTAAAGTTAAGTTGTTTCCTACTATATAAAAGGTGACATTCTTTTGGGGACATGGACAATATTATTTATCATCGTTAATCGGGAAACCAGTTAGGAGTTGTCTTTTTGAGTTGTCTTTTCATTTAGAGTTGTTCTACTTTATAGGTGGCATGAAGGTGAAGGCTGACAGAGATGAATCTTCTCCTTATGCTGCTATGCTTGCAGCACAAGATGTTTCTCAACGATGCAAGGTCAGACACATTGCATACATCGTTTTATGTCACTAGAAGATTAAAAAACTGTTTTGTATCCAATTACTTATTCGAGGATTGCGACAGGTTGCACCTGTTACAAAATAAGTTAATGAAAGGTGAAAGATTTTAAGCTTGAGCTTTGATGTGTTGATAACAGACTCACATTTATGATCTCATGCATGTTTGCTCCTTGGCATATTGTGTTAGGTCCAAGCTTTCAGGATTTTGTGTGTTCTAAGTATATGGAAGATGTCATTGTAATAATCTAAAAATAATAACGAATTTTCAGTACTTTAATCCAAGATGCTTAGCTTACCTGAACTCTGCTCCCTTCTACTTACATTTCCTGCTGCTAAAAAAAAGTGAAATATTTTGCTTATTCGATCTGTCTAAGCATAGGTGATTCAGGTAAACCTCTGTTTTGTTGTGTGATGACTTTTGGAAACATTATTCTACCTATATTACTCGTTATTAATATTGTTTTGTAGACCACGTCTAAGCGGGAGCCATATGTTTAAATAACCAAAGTACTGCCAAAATGAATCTCAAATTTAGAGTGAAAGTCTTGTTAGATTAAAATATTTCACATTAGATTGTGTATGGAGATTAAAATAGCATTTCTACTATCGTTTAGTGTTCTGAGGTTGGCACAATAAGTTGTAGCTTCCTTGATCATGCTTTTTCTTGTGTCTATGAATAACTAGGAAGTCAAGTTGTTTATTTGCAACTCACTATTTTTAATAATTTACAGGAGCTTGGAATTAATGCCCTTCACATTAAGCTTCGGGCTACAGGTGGGAACAAAACTAAGACTCCTGGTCCTGGTGCCCAGTCTGCTCTTAGAGCCCTTGCTCGATCCGGAATGAAAATTGGACGCATAGGTAAAACCTCTTTAATTGTTGGATAGTTTCATCATCTGTATGGTCTACTTGCTTCGGAATTTGGTTGTATTGACAATGTGCTATTATCTTTACGTTAACATCTTTAATCTGAATCCCTTCTGAAAGTACTTGTTGCTCTATTTTGTCAGAGGATGTTACTCCTATTCCCACCGACAGTACCCGCAGAAAGGGTGGTAGAAGAGGAAGGAGGCTGTGAATTCTTCTCAGCTACATATATGCTGCATGGCAGAATATTTTGGTTAAGGATGCAACTTTCTTTGTGTTTTACAACTTAGTTTTGAACATTTTGTAGCCAGAGTACAAGTCATTCTGACTTATGATCATTTGGAGCTTTTTCAATCTTGTGAGATGGAAATTATTTTGTTGAGTTGGATTAGTAAGTTGACTTCGTCGTTATAATCATTGAAAAGTGAACACTTTTTGTTGCTTCGTCTTGCTTCATTGTGATCTATATACTTGATACTGGAAACTGTAACACCATTGATGTTGCATCGAGAGAACTCAACAATGGTTAGAACAAACAACCTGGGCAGTGACAATAGAGAAGATAAATAACTAGTCTTTTGGATTTGAGGTAATATAACATTGTAATGTTAGCAATGGACATGCTTTCAATGTGGTTCTTTCTCAAATTAAACTTGAGTTATATCTCTTTATGGTGATTTATATTGATAGAACAAAAGTCAGATCAAATGCATGAAATCAATTATCAAAATAGGCCTGTGAATGGCTAGTTTCAAGGTAAATTTTAAGCTTCCTATACCAACATTGTCCATAGTAAATACAAGTAAAACGAGTATGATATCAAATAGCAAAACTTGAATCATTCTTATATGTTTGAAAGGAGGAAGAAAAAAGTAACATATATACCAAAATATTACTTCAACTTGACATGAATTTCAATGACAATTGGTAAAGTAAGTAAACAAGAAATGTCTTTCATTTTCAAGACAAACATAACTGAAAAATGATTTCTCCAAAACAGATATTGAAAACTTGCAAGAGTTGCCAAGCTTCAAAATTACTGTTGTTTAACTAAGTTTTTGTTCTGTGTAAAAATTCATTGAGAAACATTCTTAGCCTTGAGGGATGTTTGAATTGTTGTCCTTACACCTAAATTAAATTAATCTTTTGTTCAATAGCGTTCAAGGCCGGGAGACTTGTGCCTTATGTCACAAGTTCGAGCCCAGTTCAATATTTAAGTAGAGAAGGGTAGAGAGATGGTCTCATTATCCCGAGTTAGTTTCAAAGGCTATAATTGACCAAAAGAGTTGGCTCCAGACATATATCTCAATCATAATGAAAAAGAAATTGCACCAAGATTCTCATTCTCTTAATTCAATAAGACATTTGATCAATATATGACAAGATTTTTATATTAAATATTGCATCATTCATGAATAACTGCAAGTTAAATTTCTATACTATGGTTTCTTTGTGACGTGGCATAATAAGGTAAAAATCATGACTATTCTATTCTCCCAATGTTCTAGTGCAACTTTGCATTAGCCATGCTCCAAGCATTTAGAGTCTCAATTGTGATTCTCTCCGCGCCATTGTTGAATGCAAATAAATGTGCTTTGTCAAATATCGCCAACGTTGGATAAACCCTTGATGTAATGCATGTTTTTCCTCCAGCACCAAAACTTTCCACTACCGAATGATCAATCTGAAATACAACCAAATTGTTAAAACACACGAAATTTGTATGAAATAGGTAAATTAACAAAGAATTGAGATGAGAGCTTACCAAACTTCTAAGAGACAATTTCTTGTCCGCTAAATCTACATCTACATATCCAGCAAATGATGGTTTATACATAGTTGTTTCATTCTTTAGGCTTGACCTGGTGACATCAATGGAAACAAATAAACAAACAATTCAACAATAACAATATTGTCAATTTATGTGACATATATTTTTTTTTTGGGTGGACGAGGTGTTTAAAAAATGAAAGAACAAACCTTGAGGCATCGGAACACATAAGAACCTTGTATTTATCATGAGTCTTGAAAATTCTGAAGAAAACGGGTGTGTATTCTTCTAAGTTTTTAGAAGCCAAAGTTAGGAGCCCAAAAGGCCCAAGTCCACCTTGGACCATTGAACCTTTAATGGCGCATACATCTTGCGCGTAAAGATCAGCCCAACTAGGATCAAATGGCTCTGCCTTATCCAAACTTGTGAATGAGAAAATCACTTCAACATCAGCCTGCAATTTTCAAATTTAATTTGCTTTTTCACACACGTCTCAAATAAGTATAAAATAAAACAAAAGAAAAAAAATCAAGCCCAAACCTGTGCAACTGTGATTCCTTTGATTTCAACCTTTTCTCCCTTGTTCAACTTTTTGTTATTTAATTGGACCTTTTTCTTTCTTAGAGTTTCTAATTCTTGAACAGGCCATTGAACCAATTGTTTTCCACTAGGATCAAGCCAAATTTTACGAGGAATAGGGTGAACTCCGGCCCATCCTTTCCTCACATCGTTATCAACAGTATCTGATTCATTAGCCCAACCCAACAAAATCCTACGATTCTTGCCATTATCAAAGAATGTCTTGGACGCGTAATAGTTACCATAGTCAAGTCTCAATCCTTTCCATCCATCAATAGAAGTGTTATCCGGAAAGTATTTATCCTTTTTGGTGTCATATGTACCAATTGTGTAATGATCAAACCTAGTAACATCAAAGCTAACCTTAAGAACATGTTTAATGTCTTTGCCATTGTATGACGTGTCCAAACCATTTTTATTTTTCAATGACACTGGAAAAAAATCAGGACATTCCCAATTTCCAGTACCCGGGGCTGAGTGGAGTGGGTGTTTGGCTTTGGTCCATTTCATGAAGTCCTTATCACTTTTGTACATTATAACCTTTCCCCTATGATTCCTCACACTCCCTACCAAGATTCTCCAATTTCCATCTCGGCCCATCCAAGCGGTTGTTGGATCACGAAATTGGCTTTTGTTGATGGTTTTGTCAGCAACAATCAATGGATTGTTATCGGGCTTGATCCACTTACGAAGATATGGATCAGACATGTTAGCCGGGATTGCATAATTTTGGACTTGTGTCTTGTTAGCATCCACAATTCCAGTGTAGAGAATAACAGGCTTGTTGCCTGGCAAGATTGTGGCTGACCCGGACCATGTACCATACTTGTCAAATACTTTGGACGGGTAGATAGCGGGTTCAAGTGGGATCCAATTGATCAAGTCCTTTGAGACCGAATGGGCCCAAACAATGTTGCCCCATATTGCGCCCTTTGGGTTGTACTGGTAGAATAAATGATACACTCCATTGTAATACATTGGGCCTATTGAGAACAAAAATGACAAAAAAAAAGAAGAAGAATTACTACCAAGTAAATAAAATTTAATTATGGCTAGTAAAAAGTATTTGTAAAAATAAATAAATTTGACTCACCATTTGGATCTGTTGTTTGTTTGAAGCATCATGAAGAAACCATGAAAAAAAAGGAACAATTGAGATTTGATTAGTCAAAACACAATTAAATGTTAGCAAGAAATTAAAACTTATAATTGTAAAATGTTAAAATCAAAACCTAAGGGGATGAAGAATAGTACATGGATCAACCAGCTAAATAAATATTTAGATGAATAATTAATGCACATATTTTGAAGTTTTGATGAATGTGCTTTCACTGTCACTAAAAATACAAAAAAATCTAGGAAATATAAAAAGTTTTAGTGTTTTTTTTTTCTTTTTCAACATAGAAATCTACCCCCCCTTTTTTTTTTTGTAATTTTCTAAAGGGAACCAACTCATGCAAGGCCCACAACCTCTTTTCCATTGAAAAAAAGGGCAAATTAAAGAGAGTAGAAATTTATGACTTGTACAAAAAGAAAACTCAAATATACTATTGAAGTTACGAGTCAACAAAACTCAATAGCTTTACCTAAAAATATTTAATATGTATAAATAATTCATTTAGAATTCAGTAAGCGAAAATTATTATAGATACTTAATAGATCTAGATGAGTTCCTATGATGACTACAAATTATAAATATTATAATAATAACAAGACATGTTTACTATCAAATATTTAATAGATTTTTAAAACTATATATAGAGTCTGAATAAATGTTATAGTTTATATGAACTCGTACTCAAACTTTTAGAATCATTTCTACTATAGAGTCCATAAATTTAAAATCCTGAATCCGCTTGAGTCAGAGACCAACAAGAAGGATGTGCCCGAAGACAGACTTTCCTACAGGCTACAAGTTGTCAATATTGTCCAAAAACATTTTGACTTTTCTTTATTCCTCAAATATAAACCCCAAAAGAAAAGAAAGTCGTTTTCTAATTATTTTTTTCTATTTATCATGATAGTAACAGGACTATATTTATTATTGTTATATTATATTACTATTATTATTTCTATCCCTTTTTTCTTTAAAATTATACAAACTGAATTGTCAAGGGAACAAATGAAATCATAACGAATGTATAGAGTAATTCATATTTTTATTTTAAATTTCTTTTCATCTTTACGTCATATATTTTGGCTCTATATATTTCACGTACTTTTGGGCTCTTCACATGTTTTATTTGTATATACTATAATATAAATAATATTATATATACGATTGGTTCAGATTCTACCACCAACCCACGTACCCCACCTGGTTTGGGGGTGGAGTTGACTATACTATATTATATTATATTATTAATTTTTTTTTTCTATTTTCCATTCGGTGTCTGATGAGCTCGATTACATCGAGATTTACATCCGGAAGTGTCATATTGGGGTTAAACGTTTCCTAACAAAAGTGACTCTGTACCCAAGTAAATTCAAATTCAAGACCCCTTGATTAAAGATGAAAGAATATTTACCACTCCATGTCAATTCTCATAGATATTATATTATTAACTCTATTTTTTGCTTCATATAAATATATATACAATATTATATACTCAAAAGATATCACATGACACATGCATTAAGTTCATTTTCTCACGCTAGCCTGAAGTTGACCACATATTAGCTGTCTCTAAAAACACATCATAAACCTTTCTCTATGAGTTAGAATTCTTTGAATCGAATCGACGATGTGAAAAATATTATTTTTTTTCTAACTTATACGGTCATTTTCCTATCATATTAGATTAATGTTTTAAATAAAAAAAATTAGTATTATTTGTATAAGTAAAATATAGCAGGCTGGCACCTAAGTTTGACTTATAAGTTGATGATGTGAACAAACAAATAAAATCTTCACTTTGTTTGTATATATTAATTAATAATATCTATAGATCGGCAATATTAATTACGATACTAATTATTCATATGTGAATCTGCTCATCATGGGCAACATGTAGTTTCATTAACTCAAAAGCTGTCAAGAGTATTATTATTATTATTATATTATTATAACATATAGTATCAAAATAGCCCAACATTTTCAGTCAACCTAACCAATCAGCTGGAAATAATTATTAAAATAAACCATTTCTAATCTTTGCTCTGTTATTTTTATTTATCCACAAATAAGTAATTATACATATGTAGATACTTCCGAAGACAAGAAAAAGCAATGGACAAAAGCGGATGCAAGCTTTAAGTTTATTCTAAATTTTAAAATAGTGATCATATTGTATTAGTAATTGAGTTCTAAATTTAATTTGTATACCTACTTAGTTAATTTCTTAATATAAATACAACAATCAAACTAAAATCGTTGCATTTGGCAGAACCTCTATGGCCGTACTTAACTTTTTAGCTCCGCCCCTAACAATAAATTTGGCAAAAATCATGACTTTTAACCCAAACATCATTTTCAGATAATTGTACAAAAAAACTAATACAAATAAGAATAAATACATATTTCAAAACTTTTTATGTTCAACTTAGAACTCAGAACGTCTAAATCATAAATTGAGACAGAAACATAGACATGAAAAACAAATGAAAAACGTACCGTTAATCCAGTTTTTAGGAGGTTGAAAATGATAACCAGTTCTATGGACCTTGCTAGCATCAACATGGCTAGTAGTAGATTGCAAGTGCATATAAACTTTGTGAGAAGCATCAACAAATACTCCATTGTTGATAAAGAAGCACAACAAAAGAATTGGCAAAGCCCAAAGAGAAGAAGATTTTCTTAAAATCTCCATCTTTAATTCTTTCTTTTTGTGTTAAATAGAAAGAGAGAGAATTGGTATGAAGTAGAAAGAAAGGGTGAGAAGAGTATTTATAGAGAAAAAAAAGCTCATAGAGATGAATAGATAATTATGAAAAAAACTAAGGTTGTTTAATTACATGTTGAACAAAAAGTACATAGGAGTAAACGTTGAATATTAGTTAAATGTTTTTGTTAGAATTTATACGAGTCAAAATTAGTATAGCTAGTCAATATGTTATTCGGGTTGAATTCGAGTCAAATCCAATCTATTCAATTTTGACTAATTATCTTATTTGTTCTTTTATAAAAAAATTAATATAACGTATCCAATTAAAAAAAAAGTCTACTTGAATTCTTTTTACCAAATTTCTCATGAGATAAATTAGATTATATATCAACACAATTTTGATGAACTAAAAGTGATTAAGTTAATAAATAAGCGTATGAATAACCCAGCCAAATTTAAATATATTAGACAAATTATATTTTGTGAGTTAATTTTATAACGTATAGTTTTAATTAATAATCAGACTTAGGGTCGTTTAGAAAATTCTCTGATGTTTCTCTTATTATCAATTTTAATTTTGAAAAATTAAATGTTAATCCTTGTTTCCCACTACTTTCCTCCTTTTGTGTACCGTTTTTTCTTCTCCCACATGGCTTTTGCTATTCATGTGTATGCAAGTTGATTTGGACCTATCATTGACGAATGTAGTGCAATGTATGAGACTTGTTTTTTTTTTCTTCTTAATTATAGGTTTTGGATTTGAATCGTGTGTATGAATTTTTTTTGAAGCGTTCCCCATTCCTCTTGAATGGAGCCCTACATGACACAAATCTAATTTAATTGGGTTCTAATACATATATTGACACCGAATGAAAAAAAAAGTTGATTTGGACTTTTTAATTTATTTTTTAAAAATAAACATGGAACTGCCATTGGATCACGATATGTTAACATTTATTTTTTTGGGGTTTTAATTAGTATTTGTGTTATAGCCCCTTTGTTCCCATAGATCGAAATGTAGTATGCTGTATGCATATAATTAAGGCATAATTAACTCTAATTTTATCCAGTTTATTATTTTGAAAATTACATTTAATAATAAGTAAAAAAATTATTTACTTTCAAGAACAATAAATACTTTTTTGCTCATGATAAAAAAATGATAAAAAAATGACAAATATTTATAATATTATTCCTTCTGTCTCAATTTATATGACACAATTTAAATTTCGAGATCCAAACTTATTTTCTTTGACTGCGTATTCAGACACATACATTTTGTAAGATACATCTTTGTAAACTATATAAAAAGTACTATAAATCACACAAATTAATAATTTAAAATATTTTAAAAGTATATCAATAAATCGCGGTTAAAGATTTCTTTTGATCCCATCTCAATTCTTATTTCTGATGTTGGCCCCTTACATATTCAATTGCGCTGCACTGGATGTGTGTGAAGAGTCTTACATCGGTCCTTTAAGGAATGAGTGATCTCTTTAATAGAGTTTGGACAAAATCTTTGCCTCTTGAGCTAACTTTTGAGGTTACGTTAAAATCTCTAATTTGGATCCCAAATTGACGGGTTAGTGTGAGATTATTCATGCGGTTATGTTCAATATCTTTATTATTTTATTTGTTATAGAAATACTTAAATTGATAACTAATTTGACTTTTAAATCATAATATATACGAGAATCGAGTCTTATCCTGACTCCCAAGTCCTCCTCACCAGTAATTTTTTTTAAAAAATTATCTTAATAAGTATACAATACATTTTGGTGGAGAAAACGATTAAGGAACTTAATTAGAAAAATCAAAACAACAAATCTATTTGACAGTTGAACAACTCAATAGAAAATTCAAGAAAACAAAGAACATAGTTAATTAGTGTACGTAATTTCTCGAGTCCGAAGTCAAAAGGGCAAAAAAAATTAATAAAAATTTCAAAAAAGGCACATCAATTTTTTTTAAATCAAAAAGGCAAAGTCGCTCCTGACGAAGCGATTTTCCTATGACACAATATTGATGCCGTTACATGTGAATGTTTGAGTTACAATTAAAAAAAATAAAAAAATTGGAGGAGGAATTTCGCTGCCTTGTCAGCAATTTTTTTTTCAAAATAATATTTTTTAAATAAAAATAATAAAAACGCTGCCAAGGCAGCCATTTTCAATTTATTTATTTTTAATAAAAATCCTCCCAAGGCAGCCATTTTCATTTTTTAAAAAAATAAAAACGCTTCAATTTTTGCCCTTTGTAAAAATTGAAGAAAGTTACCCTTTTTTTTAATCTTCAAAATTCCGTAATAGAAAACACTTTCTTGTATTGAAAATTTCAGAAATAGCAAATATAATAGATATAATAAGGCTTTATAATTATAGTTTTGATAATTGCACTTCATATCTATAATTTCGTTTGCTATGGAGGTTGTGGTTGTATATTTTTGTTTGTTTGTATATTTCGCTTGCGAATATACAAATATGGTAAGTATATACAAATTTTGTATTTATACATTTAAGAACTTTTTTAGAACTTCATTTGAATATTTCGCTTGCCACTATACAAATAGGGTAATTTATTACTATGATTTTTTCATAAACCGTATACAAATACTTAGGGTAAGCATATACAAAATTTTGAATTTATATAATCAGGAACTGAATCATACAAATTCTGAATTTATATAAAACATGCAAATTACAAATCAGATGAATAGCAAGATTGGCGAAATTAACTATCATTGCAAATTAAAATTTCCCCAAATAGTAATAAAACATTTAATATGATTTAAATTTTTACTATTCTGCACAATTTTAATTTCCCTTTATTTTATTGTGCAAAAAATGCGGTGTGAAAATTTAATAGTTTTTTTTAACTCTTGATTTTTCAAAATAATGTGATTAAAAACAATTAAAAAATGAGTAATTGAAGAGTCAAAAGTCAAAGGATAGAATTAGGGGACAATTCCAAAATTGGGCTTGATTTGTCAAAGCATTTTTATTTCTTCCCAATTTCCGCCCATAATCATCATGGAAGGGACCAATCAGCAATTGACATTTTTTGCCTCTAGTTTTCTTTCCTTCAAATTCTATACTTACAGTTTTTTTAATTTTCTTTCGTTCAAATTCGATCGATTAATCCTGATTCACATTTAAAAGTCTATTACATTACGAGTGGTTTTAAGACTCGTTACTAGAGAAGACCACTCATGGAGAATTCGATACACCTCATTAAGGTGAAGAAAGTAGAATAAGTTGACTGTTGTTCAGGGGATGTTATGTACATACTGTTTACTATACGAATTAGATTGAATTCAGATAATATTATACTAAACATGTACATATAATAAATCGTAAACCTAAAAACATAATAATGTTAAGAGCTTAGTGACAAATGAGGAATTGCCAAAACCCATAAATTCAAATATTGAATCTCGTATTGTTGTTGTGTATTAGTTTTTACCTTTTAGTACATCAACCGATATTATTACCTTGTGATTAGACCTTAGAGTTGCATATGCATCATATTGTTTGGTACAAGATGAGACAGATATTATTCCATCATTGTAATATAAATATTAAGATAAATAATCTTCATATTAACTAATATCCCTTATCAATATAAAATATAATTATGTAATTCATCCTTATTGCTAGTACCAAACGACTTACGTTCTCTCCTCAACTACTCAAAAAATGTTGCCAAGAATTGTGCCGTGACATTCTTTATGACAATATATACTTTATGTGTATTCATTCAATTTTTGGATTTCACATATGCGTGGAGAAAGTGAGAGCCACATCCCTTTTTCTTTTTCCTCCTTATCCACTTATTCTATCTTATTATAAACGAAGAAAAATAAGATAATAATTAACATGCTAAAATTTATAACATCATGTGAAATATAATAAAGTAAAAAAAAAGAAAAGGAGATGTGTTCAATCCACATTTGTAGTTATGAATGGGTGGAAAAAAGGTGACTTCAACTTATTAAAGATAAGATTAAAATCCAAGGCTCGAGTCATATGTAGTGGTTTCTATTTCTCATGAAAAAGAACAAGCTAAGGCATATAAAAATTAGGAAACGGAGGACATGATCTTATATATGAGGTTATGAAAGATATAAATTCGGATAGATAGTTAGTTAGGTAGTTGAGAATTGTCTCGTTTATTCTTCATATACTAGTATACATAATATTACATTGAGAGTTTTTGTTATTCTATTTCTGCGACTATTTGATCGTTTGTACACTTTAATTATCGTATTATTTAGTTGTAATGAGGATTACTTTCAATTTGCTTTGTCATGCTTTCTTTAACACTTTGGGTGCGTTTGGTAGGAAGGAAAACATTTTCCGATTTGGTTCGGTAAAATGTTTTCCAAATCAACTCATTTTCCTCAAATTCAAGGAAAATGACTTCCCTTCAAAAAGTAAGGAAAACATTTTCCAAAACTTTCCTCCAACTTCAATACAATTTTTTTGTTGAAAAAATAAATTTAAAGCTTTTTAAAAAAAATATTTTTCAACTTCAATTTTTTTATTTTTTTACCCCACCCTTGCTCCGATCCCCCGCCCCCCTCTGCTAGCCCCCTAC